GACCTAGTGGTCTTTATTATTAGTTCTAACTCAAAGAGATAAATCTCTCTTTGAGAGGGGGAGTGGGAATACATAAACATAAACTTCTATACTTTACTTGGCATGCATTTAATTTGCTGCTTGAATAACTCAACCTGAGTATATTTTAAATATTCATATCTTATTATTGTTTATTGTGATGACTCATGCCATAGACATTTATATTTAATTCTAAATTATTGTACCACTTTAATGTTGATGCATCTCATATATTATTGATTAGTGATGAACTAATGGGATCTTGTCAAGTTCTATGTTTAGAATGAATTCTTACAGGTCTCATGAGTTTGTTAACTCCTTGACTTGGAAGACTCAGAAATATGTTATCAGCTTTTAAACTTATCAGTTCATCAGAAAATGCTATTGGCCTTTGAGCCCATTAGTTATTGGCTTTTTTAGCCCATTCGATTTACAAGAGCTTGCGTCCATCAACTATCAGCTTCTCAGCTCATTTGTTCTATGAAAGCTCAGTTCAATCTTAATTCTGCAAAGCACAACCCTCAAAGGGGTTTGATTTTATGCTATGACTCGAGAGACTAAGATTTTCTTATGGGCGTTTCAAGGTGGGATTCTGTGATAGACATCTCCAACTACCAAAATTGGCATTCAATCAACTCTACAAAAACTGGTACTGATCCTAGCTCTATAAAGTATGACTCTCAAAAGTCTGACTTCCATTATTATGGCTAATGAGGTTGCAAATCGTCACTTTCGAGTCACCATTCTCAAGTCATCATTCTCAGCTACAACCATAACACATGACTTTGGGTCATGCATTTTTACTTCGGCTCCGGCCATAGTGACTACGTGTCACCTATTTTACTTCGGCTCCGGCCTCAGTGACTACGTGTCACCTATTTTACTTCGGCTCCGGCCTCAGTGACTACATGTCACCTATTTTATTTCGGCTCCGGCCATAGTGACTACGAGTCACCAGTTCTACTTTGGCTCCGGCCATAGTGACCCCGAGTCACATATTTTACTTTAACTTCGACCATAGTGGTCCCGAATTACATATTTTACTTCGGCTCCGGCTATAGTGACCCCGAGTCACCTATTTTACTTCGGCTCCGGCCATAGTAACCACACGTCACCTATATTACTTCTGCTCCGGCCACAGTGACCCAGTGTCACATGTTTTTACCTCAGCTCAGACCACAATGACCTGTTGTCACTCAATTCACATCGGTTCCGACCATAGTGACCCAGTGTCACATATTTTAATGGCACTATATGGCTCCATGACATACTTCTCACATCAGTTGCTATCATACATTTTTAACTACACATACACTTCCCTTAACCTATCATTCACAAGTGAATGACTTCGGGGGGGGAGTAGTGTAAGGATAGGTCCGAGTTGCCCACCTCGGACGTACTAAATAATTCTTCAACAATCGAAGTGGAAAGTAAATCCAGCTGCATAATAGTTATCGT